AATACTTATAAAGTAAAGATTTAGATAATAGCTAAAAAAAACTAATAACATTAACTAGACTATATAAGTAAGGTAAGTAAACACTTATTACTATAAATAATAAATTTGCTATATTAATAATAACTACATTACTAGTTACTACTAAATAAAAACATTATAATAAAGGCATTATATTAGTATTAGGTTTTTACTCTATTTCTTAGTAAGAGGAAATTTTAGTTAAGATAGTTATACTTATTATATTTTATCTAAATTAGTATTAAAGTAGTTTTAAATACTTTCTAAACACTATAAATAAAGACTATTAGCTTATAAAGAGGGGGGTAGTGTAATAATTCTATAAATTGTTCTATCTTAGGTTGCTTAGATCTTATCTAAAGGGTCCCTGTATTAGCCCTAACTATAACTTAACCTAGTCCCCTACAGTTACCTCTATTCCCTTATGTATTTAGTTGCACCTTGCCTTTATAGCTAGCTTAGTAGTTTTTAAATATCCTTTTATACAAGGCCTATAGGTGTTAATGGCATTCCTAGGTTCCAAGTCCCCACGCACTCCCATATGCCTCTGAGTGGATTCCCACCGCATTCAGACCCATTGTCTTGCCTGCGCTGTTACAAAGACTATACTTAAGCTATATACGCAAGAATTTTCTTCTTAAATAGCATTTATAGCTAATCTAGCTATTTTTTTGCGCACTAAGCGTAATCTAGGCTATATTAGTATAAACTACTTTAGTATGTTTATAAAGCATTATTTAAAGCTTAAAGTAAAGTTTTAAGTGTAAGTATAGTTAATAGATATTTAGCTTATAATAAAGCCTATTTTACTAAAGTTATACATGTGATTATTTTAAATGCTATACTTAGCTTTAATATTCTTTACAAGGCTAAACCTGCTCTAAATTACTCTAGAACTTTTATAGAAAGCTCTCTTATAGTTATACTACGCTTAAATGTTACTTTAAGCTTTAGATAACGCTTCTTAAACATACTAGGCTAGTTTATACTAACATTGTAACAGTGCTGCTTGTTAAGCTCTGCTGCTAGTTACATAATCTTGCTAAGAGTTAAGCAAGCGCGCTAGCGCCTTAGCGCTGCGCAAGCTTTTCTCTTGCAAAAACCCTTTGCCTTCTTTACTCCCTATCCTAGTTTAGCTAAAATAGAGCTAACCTACTCTACCTTACTTCCCTAGCTCTATACAGTAGTAGAGACAGTGCTTGTTATCACAAACATAGCCTAGATTATGCTTAGCGCGTAAAGAATTAGCTATATTAGCTATAAATGCTATTTAAGAGGAAAATCCTTACGCATATAGCTTAAGTATAGTCTTAATAATTACCTGCTCTTTATTATTACCTAGCCTTTATAAGTTAGCTATAGAATTAGCTTGTAAAGGTTGTCTAGTGCTATAGTTATTTATTATCTTTTAAAAGACTTTATATATAGCTGTAGCATGTTTCTTTAAAAGTTTTACATTTTATTTAAAAGCTTAGAGCATAAGCTGTATCTAACATTCTTTTAGTATGTTTAAGTAGTATTGTTAGAAATGTATTAGTGTAGGAAAAGTAGTTTAGTAGGGTCTTAGCAAAAGTAAGCAACTTAGGTGTGTAAGCAACTTGCTTGTAAAGTACGTTATAAAAGAATTTTAAAATAAATTATTAATAAAATCTAGTAAAGCCTAGAAAAGATTTTACACCTGTTATAGTAGTAGGCGCCTGCTAGTTGCGTAGCACCTTTACTTTCTCTAGGTTAACTTTTAGTCCTTTATTTAAAAGTATATAGCTAAGATACTTTATTTAAGTAATATAAAATTTACTTTTTTTAATCTCTACCTATAATCTTGCTTACTAGAGCTTCTTTAAAACTTTTTTAACATAGAGGATATATGTTGCTTTATTTTTAAAGTAAATAAGAATGTTATTTAAGTAAGTAATGTAAAAATTATTAAGGTAGTTAATTAATACATTATTTATATAGCGCTAGTAAGTTACTAGGCTATTATATAATCTAAAAAGTAGCACTTTACATTTATATATTTTATATTATGTCTAAAAGGTAGTACACTTTTTAAAGCTTAGGTTTATCTTAATCTTATTAAAAGCTACGTAAATATTAAACTTAGTAAAAATAGCTGCCTTTATAGGTCTTAATAGAAGTTTGTTTATACACAGTATTAGATACACATCTTTACAGGTAATAGTGTTAAGTTTATAGTAATTAACACAAATACATAAGTTGCTATTTAGTTTCTGTATATAAAAAAATAAGAGATGTAAAAAGGCTCTAACTTTGCTTAATAAAGCTATATTTTAGATTATTTATAATATATTTCTTTATTACGTCTAGTTTCTTAACATTTTATTTATATAAAGGGCTATAACTGTTAAGAAGAGGTTCTATAAGGACAATCTTATAGTTATATAAGCAATGTGCTAGTAATTAGTAGGCTGTAGTGTAGCTAAATACATCTTAGTACTAATAGTATTTAGATAGTAATTAAAAGTTTACTAATACTTTAGTTTTACATCTATTATTTAATAGTAAAGCTTACTTATCTTTAATTAAAAACTTAATTTTATAAATAAAAGTAAAAAAAAACTTTTTTTATGTTAAAATAACAAGTATTTACTAAAATAAAAGTAATAGTAGAAGAATAGATGTTCTTTAGACCTGTTCTAGACTTCTTAATAGATAAGTAGATAGATAATTTAAGTGTCTTTAAACTATAGGTAATAGAAGAGCAGTATAATTTTAGTAGCCTTAGTAAACTCTTAATGCAGTAGATTGTTAGGCTGTATAACTACTAAATGTAATTCTTTTTTTATAGTGTGTTGTGTTATCTAATATCTAACTCTACTTCTTTAGTACGCGTAGGCTAGTTTAATTGCATAAGTAAAGGTAGTAAAAGTTTATAAGTAGTAGAATACTTACTAGGCTATATAATCTAATTTCTTTTTATATCTAGTTAGAGTTTAAAATAACATAACTATTTAATACTAATAATATAATCTTATAAGCTAAGGTTTATATTAATAAAAAGGTAGTTTTAAATGCTTCTACTTAAGGAACTGTTTAACCTAAGCGCCTTATACTACTGTTGTAGGGTAAACTACAGTTAGCTGCACCTTCTAGTCCTAGTAACCTAGCCTAACAGACTGTACACCTGTTAAAAGCTAATTTCTCTTCCTCTTCTACACTCTTAACCTCCTCTACAGGCCTAGAGTTCTTTAGATACTATTTCTCTAAAGTTAAAATTATAACATTAATTACTACCTTTTAATAAAGTATAAATCTTTATACTACTTTTACTAACTAGAGAATAATTAGCGCCTTACTAGTAGGCACTAGCTAGATTCTAACTCTAAATAAAGAAGTGTTAACTAAACAGCTAAATAACATAAAGAATAAAATAATAGAACTAAAGCAACTATTAGCCTAATTAGTAAATAATAGACTAATAATAGTAAACACTTAGATTTAAAACTTTTAACTTAAAGTATTAAATTTAAAAAATGCAGCCTAAAAAAAGCTAAGTGTAGACTTTAAAAAACATTAAAACTTACTTTTTCTAAACCTTCTACTAGAAGTGTAAAGAACCTTAAGCTGATTTTTATATAATGCTACTTTAATATGTAATATAACAAGGGCGCTTTTTAAACTTATAAGAAAATAATGTTTTAGATAGAACTTTACCTAGAAGGCCTTTTAGCTTTCTAGTTCTAACCTTCGGCAGACAGCTAGATAGATTTTAAAACTAATAAAAAAACTTTTTTCTTAAAAATAGAAAAATTTTTTTTAGCAGTATTAATTCTTTAAGAAAGCCTTAACTGCTATTTATAGATTAGTAAATTAGAAAAAAACAGCAGTTAATAAAATAAACGCCTTATAATAAGAAAAAAAACAGTCTAACACTACACAGCCTGCTTCTACAAGTAACTAGCTATCTGTAGATAGACAGACTAAAAAGCTATAACTAGAATGTTTTACAACAGGCTAAACAACATAGTTAAAGATAAGTTTATGTATAATAAAAAGCTAAAGACTTTAGAAAAATTTATTAACTAAGTAATAACTTATAATAAAAGACATGTAAAATGTTAGAAGGAAAAGAAAACTAGTATAATAACATAAAAGTCTAAATAGACATCTAAAAAAAGAAGGCCCTCTAATATAATAAAAAGCTAATAGACCTTAGTTATATAAAACATATATATAGTACTTCTAAGAAAAAAAGTAAGAGTCCTTTTAAAGGTAACAGACTACCTCTAAGTATGGAATAAAAAAAAATAGCTTAAAAAAAAGCCTATCTAAACTATAAAAAAGTAGGCCACTTCTATTAGAAATATCTAGACTCTAGAAACTTAAAGAATAAAAATAAGAGACTAGCTATAAAAGTTATATAAGCTAAATAAGAGCTAATATTAAAGGAAATTTATAATAAACTTAATAAATAACTTTGCTAGAGATGTAGAGCTAATTATAAACTACTAAATTATTTTAGAAATTACTAGAAAGTAGAAGTACAAGATAACTATAAGGTCCTCTAAGTGTGACGGTGCTGCTTGTCAAGCTCCGCTGCTAGTCACATGATCTCGCTAAGGGTTAATCGGGCGCGCTAGCGCCTTGGCGCTGCGCAAGCTTTTCTCTCGCGAAAACCCTTCGCCTCCTTCACTCCCCATCCTAGTTTAGCTGAAATAGAGCTGACCTACTCTACCTTACTTCCCCAGCTCTATACGGTAGTAGAGACAGTGCTTGTCATCACATTACTAAGGATAACACGCAATGTGCACAAACACTACGTAAACGCGCAGCGCTTAGGCCATGGGACAGACTTTTTAGAATGACTGTACTATTCTTTCAGCGAGAGAGAGTTGGGGCGAAGTGAATCTCGGCGTGCATAAGTATCCCAATCTGACTGGTCATGGGCTAGAGACCACTTTCGGAACTAGCTGCCCCGCTTCCGAAGGTAGGATGCCAGAAAACTTACCAAGCAATTTCACTCAACAGTGAATGCTAACGCCCGCCAAACGCTTCACCCATTGCCTCACACCTCGAATCTTTCCATTGATATTCACACGGAACATCACAATCCCCTACCATAGCATGGCGGGCGTCGCAACCTCGTACGATTGTACGTACATACCCTTCCAACTGAGTAGGTGCGACTCACGTATAGCCAGCACCCGTCCGCATCGCAGTAATTGGTGGTACTGGTGTGCAGGCGCTCCCTGGTTTCACCCTCATCGCAAGTCTCAATGTCACGACGCCATGGGGCTCTCCTTCCTCCCCAATCTCGATCCTCCAGCACCCTTCGCCAACGACCGGCAAGCCAATCCCCATCGCTTTTCTCTCCCGGCACGGACTGCACCATGAAATTGCGCCGCACGAGATCCCCAACCGTGCCAATCTAGCCGCACTCCGATCGATCGGCGTCCGTACAATCGTTGCTTTTAGCGCCGTGGGAAGTCTGCAGGAAGAGATTCGACCCCGCGATTTCGTGGTGCCGGACCAAGTCATTGATCGTACCAAAGGAATACGCCCATTCACATTCTTCGAAGGCGGTATGGTCGGCCACGTCGGTTTCGGCGACCCGTTTGATGAGGGCCTCGCCAAGATCGTGAGACAGTGTGGACACTCCCTCGAAGGAGAAGGAGTCCGACTCCACGACAAGGGGCTCGTTATCTGCATGGAAGGCCCTCAGTTCAGTACCCGTGCCGAGTCCAACTTGTACCGCTCCTGGGGCGGCTCTGTCATCAACATGTCTGCCCTTCCCGAAGCGAAGCTCGCGCGCGAAGCCGAAATGGCCTACCAGATGATCTGCATGGCCACCGATTACGATTGCTGGCATGACAGTGAGGATGTCAATGTCGAGATGGTCATGGGACATATGAAGGCGAATGCTGAGAACGCGCGGAGATTTGTAGGCGCCGTCCTAGATGAACTGAGCAAGGAGGAGCATGGGGAGCAGGTGTTGGCGAAGCATCTCGACGGGATGATGATGGGTGCTGGTAGCATCACGCATAAAGAAGGGAGGGGAAAAGAGTCTGAAGAGAAGCTGAGGTGGTTGTTTCCTGGTTATTTTGATTGACCACTGATGACCAAGGGGAGTTGAGGAGCTCTGATAATAGTCGGATCTTTCACTCTATGGGTATCAAATACCCATCACTCATGTTTGGTCCTTCTTGCCTTCACCGTGCATCCTAAGAATCCAATGCACGAAAAAATTTGAATCCTTGGCCATACCGTCTCCGCCACTTGGCAAGGTGCCCGCCATGAATCCGCAGATCTTGGCAGATCACCCCATGGAGCCCACGATGGAGGTTTGACTAGAGTCAGCCGCAAACTAAAGGCATAAGAGTTAAGCAGAGGCTCTTAGAAAGAAAGATGTAAACGAACTTACCACTGAACATAATATATCTATTACATGCGTTAATCCATGTAATGTCTTAGCATTCTCGTCGCGTCTTTTACGCCTTACTAAATACGTGAGAACCTTGACTAAGCAGCAATTTGTAACTATATAATACTAGAATAACTATTGCTTTAGACTAATTTTAAAGTTGTACGTAAATCTTAATTAAGAAAATAACTACTCTAAGTTATAGTCTCATAAAATTGTTACAATATCTACTTACTAGTCAAGCTTCTTCAGAGCTCGGTTGTTCAGTACGCGGGCCTAGGAGAAAAAAGGGGTGATGCGGGGTGTAGGATAGTATTTAGCATGGGTGTACTGTCCACGCAGTATACTAAGTAGGTTTAGGAGGGGTTAGCTAATTGTAGTTTACCTCTAGCTGCTATATAAGAAGTAGAGGAAAAAATCTTTGTTTAAGATAATAAAGAAGTATATATAAGAGAAGATATATAATAGTATAGTGTTATTAAAAACTACTATACTACTTAGTCTATGTAAAGAGAAGACTGAATGTTAATTACAACCTCTCTAGTAATAGTTAAGATTAAGACTATATACATAGGTTTGCGCGTTATGCGTGCACTGCATGCACTGCGCGCATCTTACTACAGGCAGCATTCCTCTAGAACTATTGTAGGTGGCTGTTCCGCCTGTATAGCTCTAGTCTGTGTTTGTCTAAGAATGTCACGTGGCTTCTCTTGTGCAGCTAGGAAGAAGTTCTACTACTAATTATTATATAATCTAGCAGCTGTCTAACACTTGCTTATTGTGAGAGCACTGTGAAGCAGGAAGCATGAAGCGCAGAAGGGGGTACAGGATAGTATTGATAGACGAATCCTTAAGGAGACTCAGGGGTTCGTGAGAGGATATATATATATGTGCTAGGGCACGTGACAGGACTTCATGTGCCTAAGGCTAGGCTAAGGGCTCTCTAGGGAGAGTCTAAGGTATGTCTAAGTTAACTGTGACATGGCCCCCCTCTTTCTACAGGTTGTCCTTAATCCTGCAATTAAATAGGTAGGATATTATAGTAACTTATACTAGCCCTAGGCGGACCTGCGGTGGGGACTGTACAGGTTACGCCTAGGTAGTACTTATTACTAGTAACTAAACTTTAGAAAACCTTAGTTAAGAAAAACTATGTTTAGAAAAGTATAACTAGGTAACGTACTTGACAGGTAAGTTGCTTACACACCTAAGTCGCTTACTTTTGCTAAGACCCTACTAAACTACTCTTCCTACACTAATGCATTCCTAACAACACTACTTAGACGCGCTAAAAGAACGTTAGATACAGCTTACACTCTAAGCTTTTAAATAAGACATAAAACTCTTAAAGAAACATGCTTGTAACAGCACAGGTAAGATAATAGGTCTAAGTCCCCACACACTTCTATATGCCTCTAAGTGGATTCCCACCGCATTTAGACCTATTGTCTTGCCTGTGCTGTTACATTATATTAGAAAACTTACTTTTGCTAGTAACAGCCTTATTAATAATATTACATTAATTGTTTATTTAACTATGTCTAACTCTAAAAAGTGTTTAATTTAGTTTAGGTTATAGTTTTTACACACTATTACATTAAATTATTTAGTTATTATAAACAGGATTCTAAAGACCTTCTATTAACTAAAGCCTTTAGGTTTAGAACCTTCTATCCTCTATAATTAGGATTGCCTTTAGAAAAGTTGTAAAAAGTGCGCTAAGGTAGAAACCTAGAGACTACTAATAACTTATTAGAATTAGAAACAACTACTAATGCCTAACTCTTAACTACTTTTAGACCTTAGTATAAAATTAGCAACACGCTCTAGCCGCAGCTAAGGTAAGATGCCTACTACTAGAGCTAAACAACTACTAACCTTAATAGCTAAAACCTCTTTTATTAAACCTAGAGCTAAAAACCTACTAGATTTAAAGTTAAACCCTAGTAACATAGCTCTTAAGAACTAAGTTGCTTAATTAAGAGTATAAATTAAACATCTAACTAGATTAAAAACTGTTAGTCTTAATCAACCTCTACTAACTACTAAATTACCTCTAATAATGCCTTAAATTACCTTTGCTACACTAATAGTAAGAGACTTTTTAGGCACTTTTAAGCCTTTTTAAAGCTACTTTACTAAACACACACTTAAGATTAATTACTATTAGAGTAAGCGCGCACGCATAGCGTTAGTATAAAGACACACTGCTAGTATCGCAAAGGAATACCTAGAGCCTAGATACCTAGCTAAATTAAATAACTTTTAGTTTAGAAATGTTAAAAAAATAATTAAACTTTTAAAAACTTACTTTATTACTAGTAATAAAGAGATAGAGGTGTACCAGGCGTTTTAAACTTTAAGACTAAGTAAAGAAGAAGTGTTTTTTACTTTTAAAGCTTACTTTATTAGTGCTACTGTTAAAAAGTCTGCATTAAAGTTAAAATAGTTCTTCTACTTATAAGAAAAGATACTGCCTAGCCTAAAAGTACTAAACTTAGGTTTTAAACAAACTTAGAAAAGCTTTTTTAAAATAATAGTAGCCTACCTAATAGCTTATAACATAGAAAGAATGAATACTTTTACTATTTTAAAGTAAACTATTAACTACACTTAACACTCTAACATTAGACCTATTATAAATTAATCTTAGAAAGTTTCTAGTAATACATCTAAGGCAGTATACTATTCTAGTGCACTCTAACCTGCACCTATGTTAGTACTCTAATCCACTCTAGCTACCTACTAACAACTTAGCTAGACACCTGCCTCTAAAAGACAAACAACTTCTAGTAACTATTATAATTATAGTAAACTAAAACATTTTACTAGCAATTATCTTATCTCTAGAGTATAAAAAATTAAAGTAGAGTAATAAAAATCTAAAAAAGAGTTTATAGATGTAAATAATAATAAGCTAAACCTTTTTTAAATAAGAAATAAAAACGCTTAGAGAAACTTTTTATTCTAAGCTTAAATAAGTACTACTTAGTAAATATTAACTTGTTACACTTATTTAAAGGAAAATATTTCTAAGTCTCTACTATTTTATGCTTAAAAGGTATTAGAGTTTAATTAAATTTTTTAGTTAATACTAGCGCACATGGTTTTTTATTTATAAGCTTAATAACTACTAAGTTTCTATTCTAATGCCTCTATGTCTTTATTTAATGTATAATTTTTAAAGTTATAGTTAAGGGTTTTTAAGACTAAATCTAAGTTCCTGTCTACTAGTATATCTGCTTGCATATGTAAATTAATAGTAGAAGCATCTAAAACTGCCTCTTTATAATTATAAACTTTAGCTTATAAAATTATATTATTAGCATTAAATAGCTAAGTTGTTTTAAACTCTAACTAAATATAAAAAAAATTAGATTATATAGCCTAGTAAGTATTCTACTACTAATAAACCTTTACTGCCCTTACTTATGCAATTAAACTAGCCTATGTGTAATAAAGAAGTAGAGTTAGATATTAGACAACACAACACACTATAAGAAAAGACCTAGATTTAGTAATTATGTAGCCTAATAATCTACTATAATAAGAGGTTTACTAAGGCTACTAAAATTATACTACTCTTCTATTAGCTATAGTCTAAAGACACTTTAATTATTTATCTATCTATCTATTAAGAAGTCTAGAATAGGTCTAAAGAACATCTGTTCCTCTACTATTACTTTTATTTTAGTAAATGCTTTTTATTTTAATATAAAAAAAATAAGTTCTTTTTAACTTTTATTTTTAAAATAAAGTGTTTAATTAAAGACAAGTAAGCTTTACTATTTAATAATAGTTATAAAACTAAAGTATTAGTAAACCTCTAATTACTATTTAAATACTATTAGTACTAAGATGTATTTAGGTATACTACAGCTTACTAATTACTAGCACATTGCTTATACAACTACAAGATTGTTCTTATAAAACCTCTTCTTAATAGTTACAGCCCTTTCTATAAACAAAACATTAAGGAACTAGAGGTAATAAAAATATGTTATAAATAGTCTAAAATATAGCTTTATTAAGCAGAGTTAAAGCCCTTTTACATCTCTTATACTTTATGTATAAAAACTAAATAACGTACTTCACAGGCAAGTTGCTTACACACCTAAGTTGCTTACTTTTACTAAGACCCCACTAAACTACCCTTCCTACACTAATGCATTCCCTATAACACTACTTAGACGCGCTAAAAGAATGTTAGATACAGCTTACACTTTAAGCTTTTAAACAAGACATAAAACTCTTAAAAAAATGTGCTGTAGCTATATATAAAGTTCTATAAAAGACAATAAATAACTATAGCGCTAGATAACCTTTATAAGCTAATTTTACAGCTAAATTATAGAGGCTAGGCAATAAAAAGAAGCAAGTAATTATTAAGACTATACTTAAGCTATATGCGCAAGGAATTTCCCTTTAGATAGCATTTATAGCTAATATAGCTAATTCTTTGCGCGCTAAGCATAATCTAGGCTATGTTTACATAAACTAGCCTAGTACGTTTATAAAGTGTTATTTAGAGCTTAAAGTAACATTTAAGCGTAAGTATAACTATAAAAGAGCTTTTTATAAGAGTTCTAAAGTAATTTAGAGCAGGTTTAGCCTTGTAGAGAATATTAAAGCTAAGTATAGCATCTAGGATAATAACATGTATAACTTTAGTAAGATAGAGTTTATAATTAGCTAAATATCTCTTAACTACACTTGCGCTTAAAACTTTACTTTAAGCTTTAAATAACACTTTACAAATGTACTAGGCTAGTTTATGTAAACATAGCCTAGATTATGCTTAGCGCATAAAGAATTAGCTATATTAGCTATAAATGCTATTTAAGAGGAAATTCCTTGCGCATATAGCTTAAGTATAGTCTTAACAATTACCTACTTTTTTTTATTGCCTAGCCTTTGTAATTTAGCTGTAGAATTAGCTTATAAAGGTTATCTAGTGCTATAGTTATTTATTATCTTTTACAGGACCTTGTATATAGCTAT